GAAAATTTGATAGGTTTCGAGTCTTCGGGGCAGGATTTGAGGAATCAACCGCCGGCTGGTCCTCCTCCACCGCCGCCGCCCCCTCCACCAGTTGGATACTGGGAGAGAAGGGTTCGGAAACCTCCGATTAGTACAACGGCGCAAAAATGTGATGCTTCAGATAAGAATGAGGAGACTCCGAGGTTAAAGCTGAAGCCTTTGCATTGGGATAAAGTTAGGGCGAGCTCGGACCGAGCAATGGTGTGGGATCAGCTGAAATCAAGCTCGTTCCAGTAAGATTCTCTTGGTTCAAACTTGGGTTCTGCTAATTTTGGCTGGTTTTGACATGGGAGGTGACTTATGGGTTTTGATTGTTGATGCAGGGTGAATGAGGAGATGATTGAGACATTGTTCGGCTGTAGCACGAGCAGTGCAGTTCCAAAGGAGACGGGGAAGCAGAATCCGGTGGTTCCATCGCCAAAGATGGAGAATAGGGTTCTTGATCCGAAGAAGTCGCAGAACATTGCTATTTCGTTGAGGGCATTGAATGTGACCAAGGAGGAAGTCTGTGAAGCCCTTTTGGAAGGTGAGAATTTTGTAGATTAATTGATGCATTGTTGATAAAGTTAACATTTTAATTTACTATCTTGGACATGGATTCTCTTTGGATTGAGCAATAAATCCAAGAAAGTATCACTGCAATTTTCTAGAATTTCGACTAAAAAGACGTACAATCTAGGCTTTGTTGGATTTGTGACTAGTGAGTAGTGACTTTTAGTTATGCGTATTGCATCCTGTTCTGAGAAGTTATCATTTCAATAAATAACAGAAACTTAACAGCTTGCTATTCTCTGTAATTGGTTTTTCTGATATTCAGTAACAGTAAATCTTGAATAAAACCTATTTTATGTAATTACACTCAGCCTGCGTATCTGTGTGAAATGCACCTAAATCCCTTTGTAGCGGGAGTAGTCACATCTATCATGCTGTTCAATTCAAAAATACCATTCGATTCACGTATCTTTAGAAGATTGCCACAATTTATTCATTTTCTGTTCACATTAGATCGTTGTTAAGTAATTTTCATGTTCAATGTGGTTGCCGCTAAATAAAGACCAAAATGCATGGGTCATACACAGAGTACGCATGTAGATATTTCACCAAAATGCACAGGTCAAATTTTAGAACATGTTTATCAATTATGTTCAATTTAGCTGCTACCAAATGAAGCTCAAAATGCAAGGTTGATTCTCGGAGTAAGCACAGATGTTTCCTCTAATGTTATAGTTGGCTCTATAACATATTCCACATAAATTGCCAAGTTTTACCCATATGAACATATTTGTTGACGTTATTGAGTGGTCTATGTGCAAGAATTTTACTTTCACAATGTGTAACCATTGCATCAGTAATAAGTTTAAATGAATTACAGCATGACCTGTTTCAGTATAAAACTCCACATATGAATTCATGTACCATTGTCCTATTTCAGTCTAGAACACCGTGTATGATATACAATTATCGAGATTAGTTTTTGAAACCTATAGGATTATCTGTCATTTTGAATTCAATATGTCTACCTTCTGTATATACTTCCACATGCGAGATTACATGTTTTTTGGTTTAATACGCTTACATTCTCTTCCATTGTAAGTTGTGGTGAGAATTCAGAATTATAATTTAATATTTACAAATTCTACCACTTACATATTTTTATATGGGGTAATTTAGTCAGAAGAAATGACTGTGTTAATCCTAATCACATTTGTCTGAGCTAGTTAGAATCACGATCTAGTTCTAACTGCATACAACTTCTATTGTAGCAGTCGGAGTGATCCCTCTGCATTGTGACACCAAATGCACTAGATGGTAAACAGGTATTTAGTGTGTTACACTTTGCATAGCAGCATCAAAAGTTTAGGATGAAGATTTTCTTATTGTTATTACTGTTGTTGTAAAATGCTATTATAGGGTCTCTTTCGGCCCAGACATACTTTTTCAGTTTAACTATTTGGAAGTTGTTGCACAATATTTTGCCAGAGTTGTACAGTCTTCATGCAAAGATGTTGAATGCAGCATATCAGCATTTCAATGAATAATTTATAGTCGTTCCTTCCTTTTTCAATGAAAGATTATATATAGAAATTATGTCTCTTTATATTCAATCAAAATACTCTTTGTTCACAGAGAACATATTTTACAGAGCTTTCTTGTGCTCTAAGGAGCTTCATCAATTGTGAACTTGTACACCTTTTCCATTTTGCTCCTTCAGTTGGCTAATTTATCTGGATAAGTACTAGTTGACCAAAACAGTTTTTCTAAAGCTCCTCAATGCTTATCCTTTTTATAACCTTTTCTGAATATATTGTTGGTATTATTGGAAGCAGGTAATGCAGAAAGCTTGGGAGTTGAACTTTTGGAGACCCTCCTGAAGATGGCTCCTAGCAAAGAGGAAGAGATTAAATTGAAACAACACAAAGATGATTCCCCAGTTAAGCTTGGTCCAGCAGAAAATTTTCTTAAGGCTGTGCTTGAGATTCCATTTGCATTTAAGAGAGTGGAGGCAATTCTTTACATTGCCAATTTTGATTCAGAAATCAGTTACTTGAAGAAAGCGTTTGAAACTATTGAGGTAAATTCTTCATTGGTTCTTGATTGGCTAATCTTACCTCTAATGTATGTTGCATGGGTATGGGTATGGGTACAGGATGCGACAAATGTAAAAAGTAGGGTACGGGGAGACGGCTATAAAAATATTATACATTGAAGTTAATAGTTCGCATGAATATCAATATTTTTTTAATTCACATGTTATGAGAATTAAAATTCCTCTAACATTTTTATGTTTCTTTTATTATGTGGATTATAAATTGTAAAAACACTCATTTGTTGAACTAGACACGCAAATGACCACTACAATCATAGTTTGGAACCCAACGAGTTTCAAGAATTGGATGTGAATTGTAAGATTTATGTCTAGGAAATGTTGACAAGTGTTCTAAATTAAAACATGTATTGTTTAATTGAGCACATGCCCAAATAAATGCATGCATATATGCAAGGAGCATCTGGGAGTTTGGGTGCAGGTACGTGTCGGTACGGGTACGGGTACGGGTCGGTACGGGTACGGGTACGGCTTCAAGATAGAAGTACCCAGCTAACAGAACCTCTAATTTTTAGGCACTTACTTCAGATGATAACATATAATGCACAATGATCAGTTGATGAGATCAAATAAATATTATAAGGTTCAGGTTACTTTGGTTATGAACAAGATGGGTTCATTGACCACAACAACCATGTTTCCAATTGAGAATACAGTGCATGCTAATTCTAGTACAAATTAGTCAAATTAATGATCTGAAGTTCTAAGTAAAATACACGGAGCACTGATCAAGGATCCAGAAGTCTTGACTTAAACAATATAGTACACCACCTGATATGTGCTCTATTACTTGATCTGAACACTAGTAACTTGATCATCTACTGTTTTCACTGTAAAATTAAAGATAAGGAATTAGATGCTTTATTATCCAATTGATCTTAGATGCCACCTTGGCTGTACTTAACATCAGTGACAAGATCTGTCTTTGATGCTGCCTTGGCTGTCCAGCTTTCTGACATATCATTGAATTTATCAAAATCGTTCCAGCAATAGTTACAACTTTAGATATTTCTGGTGAAAGATGTAGAACCTTCAATCAGATAAATGTATTATATTAAGCATTTGGAATTTTAGCAACTTAGCAAGGTTTCAGGTATTATATTCTGAAGTCATCTACTAAGTTATAGGCTTATAGCAGATTCTCTTTTGTGAGAAGAGTTTTGAGTAGTTGGCCTGGTTAGAAGTTTTACTGGATGTCATGTAAGATCTCAAGTACTTGCATATTCACCTGCAGTCAGAATCGGTACAAGTTATGATACATTTCTGCAAGTTATTATTGTCAACCCTTGTTTTATGCATGTAAACAGGGAGAGTTGCATCACTCTTGTTTGTTCACTGAAAAACAGAAAATTTGTAGACCTTGTCTTGGCCTCTTGTGGCATCCTTTATGTGTACTATTCTCACATGCATTGTTTGAACAGCTTAAAATGATTGATATATGATAACTAACCTAAGCAAATAAAAGACGACAAGGCTTAATTTTGGTTGGCTATGTAAGCTATATTCTGAATTATGTAAATTTCTAAAAGCATCAAAACAATTAGGAAAACAAAAAAAAACATGACCAATCTTTTGCAATTTCCAGGCAGCCTGCGAAGAATTGAGAAGCTGCAGGCTATTCCTTAAGCTTCTAGAGGCAGTTCTCAAGACTGGAAACCGCATGAATGTTGGAACCTACCGTGGTGATGCTCATGCCTTCAAGCTTGACAGCCTCCTCAAGCTTGCCGACATCAAGGGCACCGATGGCGAAACCACCCTTTTACACTTTGTCGTTCAAGAAATCATCCGAGCAGAGGGATCTCGCTTGTCTTCTACTAAGACGCAAGACAACACTCTTCGTGTTGATCTTGAGTGCAAGAAACTTGGACTGAAGGTCGTTGCAGGCCTAGGTGGTGAGCTCGGCAATATCAAGAAGGCAGCTGCCATGGACTCCGAAGTCCTTAGCAGCTACGTCTCAAAACTAGCTTGTGGCATTGGAAAAATCACAGATATCTTGAGATTGAATAATAGTAGCAAACAGTTCCAAGAAGCCATGAGTGAGTTCTTAAAGAAGGCAGAGGATGAGATCATTGAGGTTCAGGCTCGAGAAAGCGTTGCATTATCTTTGGTCAAGGAAATAACTGAGTACTTCCATGGGAATTCAGCTAAGGAAGAAGCTCATCCTTTTAGGATTTTTATGGTGGTTAGGGATTTCCTGTCGATTCTAGATCGGGTTTGTAAAGAGGTAGGAAAAGCGAATGAGAGAAGTTTTGCAAGCTCAGTTTGCCAGTTTCCAGTGCCTGTAAACCCCACATTACCGCCATTGTTCCCTAAGATTAATAAAGCAACGATACCTGAAAGTTCTGATGATGAGAGCTCATCATCATCTTCATAGTTCAGTCGCTAGCTTCAGAGGGCCTTTTTTTTCTTTTTTCTTTTTGAAATCATAAGGCAGGGTATTTATATTTTTTCTTTTGCTTGTAGAAATTGTTGTAAGATTTTCGAAATTGTTATGGTTATATATGTATGTATAATGTTTTTATACAATGGAAATCCTGCTGCAGAGGAATGATGTGGAGAAGTTAATACATCTGGACTGGATATAAGGTAGCTATATCAATTTCATTCCTGTGACCAAAGGAGTTAATACATGTATAATATTTCTTATAATTCAAGGAAAATATTTGAATTGCTCATATCAGTTCTGTTAACCATAATTTTGCGAACTGCGCCGCGTCCTATATAGTAGGCTACTCCTATATCAATGGCTTGTTTAGGTTCACATTCTTGACAATAGAATGTGAGATTTGGAATGGACTATGTATCATAAGAACATTGTCTTGCTTTTCTAAGAGAAGATAAAACTAGTTTATCACTTTTAGTTTCAATGATCTGATTTATTTCTGGGATAATTTTTTAATTTCTTTTATGTGACGTCCTTGTTTTCACACATGGTTGCAGTCTAACATGAACCCAGAGATGTCAAACCTACCAGGCACCCACATTGTGCAACAACAAGCTTTACCAATCACAACAATATCCTCTAGTGGAATCAAAATAAAGTGCAGGTGCAAAACAGACAAAAGAAATAAAATAACTACAATAGACATAATATAGAAAAAAATATCTCATAAATAAATCAGGTCTCAATGAACAACCTGAAATACATCTGATATCCAAAATGAATAAATATGTCTCGACAAGAAACAACTGAAAAACATACTAAGGCACACTGCCTTTACACTATGAAATAAACTCTAAGGTCTGAACAAAAATATAAAACTACGATGGAGCCTCTAATAAATCTCATGTGACGACGATTATGCAAGAACTCCGTCATTCTGCGACTCTCCGGTACTCCGAATTACCTGAAAGAATATTAGAAGAAAAAGAGCAACAACAAGAGCGTCAGAGCGCTATAGAAAGATCACCTCCATCCGCCCCCCGGTGAGTGGCTGCTAGATGGAGTGGAGACTCTATCTATTAAGCAGTCTACCTAGATCATTTCCCCCCGTATCTAATGGAATTAATGTTTAGATACCTACAATATGAGACGCAGTACGTCGAGCGAAATAATCCAACCAAGGAAACCCTCATGTATATACCATATGTCCCGAATTGTAAACATCTAAACATTAATACTGAACTAAAGATAAACAATCTAAATAAAATTAACAATTAGAAATCCACAACACGAGATTGGTACGTCGAGCGAAATAATCCAAATAAGGAAACCCTCATGTATATACTATATGTATCAAATTGTAAATCGCTAATTATTGATCCCAACTAAGAAAATAAAGAAAAGCAGTAAAAGAAAGTAAAGACATCAACATATCATATTCATAATATCTTTCACTGTCACTGGGAAGATAGAATGAATACCGGCACAAATCCTGTTTACTTTCAAATACAAAGTACTCTAGGTCATATATTTGTAGTGAGTCAAAAACATAACTGACATCCGCCAACGACTCGGGTTATCATTTAACTATCTTAATGCAACTCCGTACAAGGTTTTGATACTTAGCATTATCATGTGCAACGGACTACCCTATAGGTATCCTAATCAGTGTACACGGCTCATTAGTCTCAGCGTGATCTTAGTGCATAACATGAGTGCGGAACGGCCTACCATATAGGTATCCTAGAAGTACTACTCACAAGTCTCATCGTACCCTCGTGCGAACGGACTGCTAGATAAAGCATCTAAACCCAACTCAATGACTTGTACAAATGGAATATCGACGCACTATCCCTATAGTACTGAACTGAGCTCATCAACGATATCTAGAAGGTGTGTGTATAATATGTACTAAACTCTTTCTCAAAGTAATCGGGTCAAAACCCATCATAATTCCTTTCAGCATACACATGTGTGTGCTACTACACTATTCGTGAATTTACGTATAAAGAAGTGCGGCTCGAAACCCACAAACATATCTCAAACAGATCCAAAACAAAAATTCAGGCAACAACCTTAGTAGTCGACTACTAGGTTTAGTAGTCGACTACTAGGTTTAGTAGTCGACTACACTGAGTCCATTCAGACTCTGTAATAACATATATCAATATCAATTGTCGATTGTTAAGAATATTAGTCGACTACTCTGCAAACACACAGTTTTTGTTGTACTCAACTGGGCACGAGTAGCCGACTACTAAGCTTAGTAGTCGACTACTCTGTCAAGACACACATTCTTTCATGCACAAACAGTGCTTATGTCAATTATACATATCATGACGTTAAAACGAGATTTTATACTTAGCATATGTAACAGGAATTATGTGAATCATCAAATTAAATTATTATATTTTCCAAATTAGGGTTTAACATCCTAATTAAATAATTTCTTCAATTATCTCATATGTAAACAAAGTGATTATCAACACATGATAAAAAATACTCATGAACAGAGGTAAAATTCATTTAAACATGTTTATCTTACTTTGGTATCGCAAACCTAGGGTTTAAGCATGATTAATTAACATGAAAACTCAAAGAAACCTTCACGTAATATATCAATTATTTTAAATCAGCATATCTGTAGTTTTCTGAAGAACATATCATTAGTAAATTGAGCATATCTTTCTCTAGACAAACTCTTTTTAAGAAGAGTTTTTTGTTTTAGAAACTAGATCTACATAGATATCATTTGGCACTAGTTTGGTTCAATTTGGAGTTTATATGATATCTCTAATTTCCAGTTAAAGGTTACACACGTGCAGCAGTTTTTAATAGAATATATCATTAGTAAATTGAGCATATCATTCTCTATTAAAACTCTTTCTTAAAATGGTTTTTTGTTTTGGAAAATAGGTTCACATAGATTTCATTTGACACTAGTTTTGTTCAGTTTGGAGTATATATGATATCTTAAATTTCTAGTTAAAGGTTATACACGTACGCTAGTTTTTTGCAATCTATGATAAAAATAAAAACTAAACCTCTTTATAATTTAATTAGACAACAAATTAGGGTTAACACACGAGTTAAACATAATTATCAATTTTAAAAAAATAAAAATTTAATCACCCCTAATGATCATGATCACGCTACTATCATAAACAATTAGGAAAAACTAATGATCTAGCATTGGGTTAAGATTTATCATCAAAAATCTCATCTTTTTCATATTAGGTTAAGTCTTAAGCATGAAAACATTGATTAAACACTTTTATAATTATTAAAAACTATGGGTATGGGTTTAGATGTAGATGATCTTGCTTTATCACGTGTGCAAGCCTTTGAAACTGATGTGAAATGACTCCTCGTCGCCAAACGTCGTAGATCTCGCCTTTTCCTCGCTTCTCGCCTCACAAGACGCTCCCAAAATCTTAACTTTAGGGTTAGGGTTTGAGAGAATATGCAAACCCAAAATAAACCCGTTTGACCCGAACCAGGAAACCTAGTCTGACTAGGAAAATAACCTTTGGTATTTTTGCTGTAACTTTCTCATCCGACCTCGGAATGAGGTGATTTAAGATTTGTTGGAAATATGTTGAAGAGAGATACAACTTTGCTCTTTTGAGTTTTTCCATATTCAAACTCATCGGTGTGTAAAATATATAAACTCTTAACTAGTCATTTTTCCAGATTTCTCTTCGTGCATGTTTTGTGCATTTACACTCATATATTCACAAATATACATTGAATTGATCTCAAATCAATTCCTATCATACTCAAACATCAAAATATATTATATTTTTACCATATAACATATTTATTATTTTCCTATCATACTCAAACATCAAAATATATTATATTTTTACCATATAACATATTTATTATTATTTTTTACATAATATTCAAATTTTCGGGGTTTTACATCATTCCCCCTTAAGAAGAATTTCGTTCCCGAAATTCTGTAATCGTATCCTAAAGATTAATAATATCATAAAAGCATGTTGAGGGGATAATACAGACAAGGAAACCCTCATATACATATCTTGCGCCATTAATCTCTAGATATGAAACATAAAAATATTTATATTTAACAATCTAGAATGCCAATATTCTTACTCAACCCCTAACTAGACGGAACTAGTACGTCGGGCAAAAAATCCAAACAATGAACCCCCCATATATATATACCATGTGTTCCAAATGATTAGGAGTTAAGTGTCAATACCTCCATTCTAGTGTTAAGTATGAATATAACCATATAAACAATCCATAAACATCAATCAAAATCAATCAACCCACCTGCTCAAACAGATGCGGATAGTCGCGATGCATAACATATTCGTGCCCTTGAAAGTCATCATCGATATCTATACTTAATGGTCTAAAATGCAAATACTCACAGTTAACTTCTAACTAAATAGAACAAGTACGTCAGGCAAAAAATCCAAACAAGGAACCCCCCCCCCCCCCATATATATATCGTGTGTTCAGAATACTTAGGAGCTAAGTGCTAGTATCATCATTCTAGCGTTAAGTATAAACATGACCATACGGATAACCATAAATCATAAACAAATCATACTGAATTTTTAATTTACCTGTTCAAACATGTGTGGGTAGTCAGATAACCATAAATCATAAACAAATCATACTGAATTTTTAATTTACCTGTTCAAACATGTGTGGGTAGTCACGACGCATATCCTCCTTGCGCTCCCATGAAGTCTCCTCAGTTCCTCTCCGGTTCCACTAAACTTTAACTCAGGGTATCACCTTATTTCTAAGCTTCTTGTCCTCCTTGATAAGAATGCATACTGGAATCTCAATCATAGTCAAATCATCGTGAATCTTGACCTCCGGTGCGTCCAACACTCGCTTCTCCTCCTCGTCGCGTAGATGCTTCTTAAGCATAGAAACATGGAAACCATCGTGTATGCTCGACATCGAGAACGGACCAATGTACCTCGTGGAAAGCTTGCCCCGTCTACCAAAACACTGTACACGCTTCATTGGTGATACTCTTAACAAAACATAATCCCCAACCTGGAATTCTAATGGTTGCCACCTCCGGTCTGCATAACTTTTCTGATGACTTTGTGCTGCAAGAATGCGCTCTCAAATGATTGCTACCTTATCTGTAGTCTGTCTAACAAGCTCTGATCCAAGCAATAGACTGTTTTCTGGT